TTGGTAACTAAATTTAAATTTAAACACCTAAAAGAAGCAGCTCTCTTGAAGAATAAGCAATAAGAGACTGCTGAAATATATCTTAGACAATGAAACACTGGTGATCGCATCACCGCCTGCAATTCTCGACATTTACTGCTATCCTGCTCTTAAATTTCAGCTAACTCGCGTAGAAATTAGGATAAAAAGATCGTCATCGTTATGTTGTAAATCTGATTTATGATGTTCAATGCAGTACCTAAACTGATGAATATTTGCATATTTTCAATTTCTTTGTAAATTCAAATATGAAAGGAAACAAAACGCATTACCCCAAACAACGCCATTACTTTAATCGCCATCACACCTAAATAATCATCCTTGTTCAAAATTACCACGATTTACTAAAAAAAAAAATACGCTTTAGCTAAAACTTGACCAATCAGATTAACCGGTGACGAATATAAATATAAAAAATTCCTTCATCAGGAAAACCAACTTGTGAAATAAAACCAAAACTGGTAACTTCCCACTGATTTTATATATAGCTGCCTCAGGCTCCACAACTAGTCTATATCAAGGAAAACTTGTCACCCTTTAAATGCAGTTTTTATGAAGCGCTAATCAAAGTAGACGATAGGGAAGCAATGTTTACAGTCCCAGAATTACCCTCAGCACCTTGACAATTAGACACCCTTCACCAGTACCAACAAAAAACCCGATCCACAACTGATGTCTGACTGCACTGCTCTCTAGATCCAGAAGCTGTTGATAATCGGTTTAAACCTGTACCTTGTATAACCGACAACGAATAACTACAAAACAAATGGAAATACTATTCGTCGCTATAATTCTACTTGAAAAATTTTTATCAAAAGTACATAAATTTATTTCAAGTTCATTACAAATCACAACAGATCATAATCCTTCAAAAATATGTCAAACATAAATTTCTCAATATGCAAGAGATTTACCCCGTAAACAGATATTTAATTACTTCAATAAAACGACAAATAATTCTTCTGTAGCACATGAAAAGCTGTTAGGTTCTTCTTTCAAGACTTTTTAGAGTATCGTGATTTAAACCCAACTAAACGAGCAAACCATACCACAACAAAACAGCAAAGAGTCTTATGAAAGGTGTAAGAAACTTTCTCATATAAATTATACATAGCTCAATTTTCTTCATACAAACACGTAAAAGAGAGGAAAAATGAAATGGCGTCGAAAAAATTAAATATCACATCACAGTCAAAGTGAAACGGAGAGTCAACAGAAAAGAAAAATCGGCACTCAAAGAATGAAAAAACTATTAAAGAATTATACTAGAAATTCAGTTCCAAAAACACGTATTTTAAACACGCTTACAAAAACTACAAGCAACAGAAGCCAGTTCACTTGAATGACATAAATAAAGCTCAAGTCCCTAAAAAAGCACGAACCTTCCTTAAGAAAAGTTAAAACAACCATAAGTCGCAACAATCGTAAGTATGGTACAACCCTATCACAATCATAAAAAGATGAAGCCTCTATCAAATAAATTATTAGTCTATATTACATGTAATTTACACTAATGCACTTCTGTAGAACTCTAGCAAGTTTTGACCTCAACTCTTCTTTCATGTCGCACTGTACCAGGCGACAAATATCCAAAGCGTAATCTTTTCCCAAGTCCAAGAGCTAAAATTCCAATCAAAATCGAGAGGTCCGGAAAAGATGAAGATGTCACGTATGTTCGAAAAAATAAAATTAATGAACACTTTGAATACCTGCGCGTCATTAAATGAAGACGAGCAATCCAAAATTAGATGAAGCACTAAATTCCAAGCCTGTTTATGTTGATCAGTATTAAGTTCGAGGAAGTAATTTATTGCATCACAGACAATTCTGCAAGCAAAAAAGTTAAAACTATTCGTTCTTACAAAAGTCTGAGTGAACGAACAGAATTCTACCTTTTTAGCTCCTTTTTTACGTCAAGTTTTCTGTCTACACTTGAGATAGAATATAATCTGTACAAAATTCCTAGAGCAGATCGAACGCTATGAGTTTCTTGACGCAACAAATTCGGCTTACTTCTACCTGAAAATTATGAAGTAAAAGTGAAGCAGGCCACCATTAGGTTCATTTTATATGTGAATAACAAATTCATCTCTTTCTTCTTTCAACCACTACAAGTAAACAATCAACAAATACATGCAAAACGAAAGTAAGCAGAATTAAAGGAATGAAACTAATTAGTTATAAAAAAACTTTTAGAATTACAGGTAACCAAGAAAGATATGTAATGTTAAATCTGCAATAAACATATCAGTTCTAGCACGCAGCCCATTTCTGGTCAACCCAAACACAGAATGAAAAAAAAAAAAGAAGTGCATCACCCAAATTTTTAACACTGTCTCCTAGCTGCAAAATTGGTTAAAAGTCTAAAGGTTTAGTACTTAGTACTGAATAAGTTTCTAGAGAAGCTTCATCGTTAATGATCAGTGTCATCTTTTGCATTCTACTTCACTGTTTTTGGTTTCTATTCCTCTTCCTCTCTTGTTACGGAAAATTAGCTAGCAAACAAGAAACAAACAAAACAAATGAATTTGTCAACAACTTGTCCTGTACTCCAATAACAACAATAACAAAACAAAAAACGATTCTAAAGTTTTTTGAAAATTAAACCTTTGAATCCAGCCTTCCACAATAATGTTCTCTGAGCGTTATTTCCATTGAACTTTTGCGCTAGTCTATGAGACTGTAAAAGACAATTAACTAAACACAAAAGACGATCGGCCCCTGAAAAATTGGAGACAATTACTGTAAACTGTTTATCATCAGTTGTTACTTCCATACCAGAAATTCAATGACATCCAAATTATACGACCTTCCTAAGCAACAGCGGAAATTTTACAATATATAATTTTTTGAAAATACCTTCGCTTCTACCTTGGAAAGCAATTCCGCAATAACTTGGTGCAATGATGAGATAAAATAAAAAAAAAAACACGATAACCTATAAAAACTTGATAACAAGACTGAAAATACGAAAGAAATTTCGGCATACATTAAAGGCAACACCGAAGAGTTTGATCAAAATTTAGAGAAAAAAGAACTAATTGTTAACCAACCAATGTAAGAAAACAAGCCATCATCATCAGCCCCAAAAAAAATTTCGTCACTTTGAATAATACCATTCTGCACTTCCCCAGAAGGTTCACGTAATGCATCTTTGGAAGAGAGATGTGTCGAAGGAAACGCATGAACATCGTCCTGAAAAAAACTTGCAGTTTTCTAATATCAAACAAGTGTTAATAAATCAGAAAATAGCTCAAATTACGTACCTTATGCATCGCGCCTGAACCAAAAACGATATGATTAACTGCATCAACGAGCTCAAGTTGCACTACGCATCTAACTAGTAAAGATGAAAACAAGGTGTCGTTTGTGCTAAACAAATGCACTCTCAAAAGTGGAAAAGCTGGATAACACATAAAAGTAAATGAAAAAGGGACAAACCTTCTTCAAAGATGGCGATATATAGTAATGAAAAGAAAGAAAGAGCACAATGTTTTTATATCGGTAGGAAAACACCAACCTATTGTTCAACTGTATCACTGGTTGGGTAGGTTCGTTATTCATTTGTGGATCGTCCCCATTTGGAAGGGAAACAGAGGAAGTGATTACCGTCTCCGGTTCCCAAGTCAACAAACTTAAAACGAGAAAGATAATAACAGCGACAGGAATTCAAATAAGCAAAGAGCTAAAATAACAGAACTTACGAATGCGGTAAAGTCGAATCAAAAATATCTCTTATTAAATCCACAGACATTGTCCACATGCCATTAGTAAAACGTGATCCATTTAGAAGAACGAGGTTTTCCAAACAATTGATAGCCGACCGAGCTAACTGTTCGTCTTCTATAAAGAAAGGTAACGAGTAAAGTCCGGGAAAGCTCATATATTTACAATGTATTACAAGGCACCTTGCTTTGCACACCATTTTAACTGATCGTAAATACTATCGAGTAAAATAGTAGAAAGAACGGGATAGTACTGAGTGAAAACATCAACAACAGCATACAACGCATGATTACACGTGGTCCTCATCCACTCCTTCTTCTGAAATTTGGGAACAATGTTAGGTGAAAAAAAAATTGTTAATCAATTCACAACACCTCTTTTATGAACGAGCAAATCAACCTCATTGTGCTCTTCAGCAAGTTTCATAACGTCAAAGATACGAAATGCGACTTGAAAAATGTCTTTCCACCACTCATTCTTGAATTCACTTCCATATGTCTTCATTATCTCGAACATCACGGTCAGGCTTCTAGAATTATCAACGTAAAAAAATTCTGAGAAGCACAGTGAGCACAAAACTACATCGCAGAAAACTCATGATATAACACTAAACTGTATTTATACCTGGTGCGTACGTCAAGTTTACACCTTCCAATAATGCATGACAATTCAAACATTATAGGGAACCACCCTCGCAGGAAAACTCTTTGTGTAGCTTGAATTGAAGCACCATCTTCCCACTGATGGTCAATAATCAGCTCTTGGTTCTGTGATACGTAGGAAGCGCAGAGACGTATTAAACGAATAGCTTCCATTGAAATATCAGGAAAGTTTGAGTTGCAAGCAAACTCAGAAAGGCATTTGATAGCATCTTGGAAAGAGTCGAGAGCATTTCCAAATTCAGAAGCAAAAACAACAGCTAAAAGAAAGTATGAATTATTAAAATAAATTTTCTCGCCGAAAAAATCAAACGATAAAATAAAACCCAAAAATATTTACAGACAGAAAAAAATAAGTCATCAGCGTACTTATTATAAAATTGGTCGTAGCAAAAGCGCTTTCAACGATATCTTCGTCGTTACTGCCAGCAGCCATAGTAAAAACAGAAAAAACATTTTTCCATCCAGAAATAATCTTATTCCAATGCGAGTTTACCATATGAGTCATGCATGCTACAACTAGCTCACGGCATTTCAAAGACCTTGAAAAAATAAATGTATTTAGCAGCAAGTTTTAAAAAATCAAACCCACACAGTTAAATTGCCGCCAAACAACCCTCCTTGATTATTTCACAGCCTAAGAAAACCGGACTTATCAACAGCAACGGTAAAACGAGATAAGAAGCTCCAGTACCGATTCTTATTCATAATTATTTCGAATGGCCTTAAGAAGTCTTTTTGGAAACGGAAGTTGTGCAATTCACCACGTTCTAAAAACTTCATTGACAACTGGCGGAGCGCATCCACAGCAAAATGAGCGACGAATTCATTAGTATTACAACCTGCCTGCAAACATTACTATAGAAACTCTTATTTTTCAATTGTTAGGGTAAAATCATGAAGAGCTCACAGTTACTTACGCAAGAAATGTGGAGCAATCAACTGACCTTGTTAAAATGCTCCCCGAGTACTGTCCATATTCTTGACCACTGAAGCCTGATTCTGCCCATATTATAAAAAGAAATTTCCACAATTTTTTGAAGCATAAACATTCTAGGATTCCCAGCTGTAGACAATTCTTCGCGTGACACAGAACATAATGCTTTTACGAAATGCACAACAGCGTCGCCATCAAGCTTTGAGGAACCTTGGAATATTCTAAAAACACATTTACGACTCAAACAGTAAAAATATTTTGCAGCACCCAATTTCTAAAAATAAATATTACACCGTCCTGAAAGAAAACCACAATCAATGAGCACAACACATACCTGTCTACAGCAACAACCACACTTTGAGAACTGGTTTCTCCTAAACGTTCCTGCAAACTATGGAGCATAGTTTCATCAACGTGAGATGCGCTCTTAAGAACATCTGAAAATCCAATACTCTGGGGGTAGAATGATAATGAAGGATGATTACACATGAAAAATGATAAATGGAAGTGTAATACTTTAATTAAAGAAGAAACACAATTAGTATAAATTACACTGCGCTGATGAATCATTATAAGCTGGAGAGTTTGAAGGTCTTACACCTGTCCCAATCAACTGCGCTAATTCAAGTTGAGATATGCATTTCAAGATCTAAAAAGTAATTATAATGCGACAAAATAGTCAGTTGATACTTACATCGACCCAGCACTCATCCACGAATTCGATGTTCTTTACCAAAACGAAAAAACTACACAAAAACTATGAATTGATACAAAACTATAAACGATTATTACTCTTTCAAAGATTTCTACTGATATATATATATA